GTCTCGCTTTCCACTTTGAACTTGTCGTTAATGGCTTGAGCGTTGCATTGGTTATCGTTGACTCATTCATAAAGTCACAACCAAACAGAGTCTTAATCTTCTCCTTACCACCCACCGTGTCCTCAAAGTAGTAGCTGTAGTGCTCATGCAGAGTAACCCACCCACCATTAATGGCTTCAATAATAGTGGCCTCGAATAGCTTAATAATACTCTCCTTAGACCTTCTAGGGTTGAGGCTAGTAGGATTACCCTTCTTGGCCTGCCAATTACTCTCTTTGTCGGTCATCTTAGACAACATAGGAGGAAGGGGGAACAAACCAACGGACTCTACAGCATTCAAGTCGCAAATAGTTGGGGTAGCATAAAAGGTCTCAGCTTCACCTTCATTTGGGCAATGAACGTGTGCTTTACCTATCTGCACGCATGCACAAAACCGTGACGGCGAGCGCTGTCTTTTTTGTGCTGAGACTCTCTCATCTGCGCTTGTTGTACCAAGCCACTTCTTCAGCGTCAATGTCGATCTTCTAGTCAATAGCCCTGTGTTGTGTTTAACATTGAGTGCTACCCACTCCTTGTCTCGAGATTGTGGACAAAAGGACCGCATACGCAGTAAAGGCTTGAACCGACTGCTGTCACCCTCCGCGCCATTGGGATTACATAAAGGGAAACCACATACAGAGCCCTTTATTTCATCCCAATATAGTAGAAGGACTTCATACTCATCCATAGATCGTTGGCTGATCTTGACCATATGTAACATATGATCATTACCTCTGCCATCGATTACCAAGCCAGCTTCATTATCACCAAACCACATCAAAGTGTTGACCGGGATAAGAGATTTACCCTTAACATTCAGCCACCCACCTTCATTAGGTGATACCACTTTAAGAACATGAGCTACACTATCTGTCATCTTCTTGCCTTTGGCGTTAACAACTACAGATACTCCTTGAACTTGCTCAACTTTATAGGGGCCTTGCCAAGGAATATCCAACTTATGTTGCTTGGGTTTACTTATCCGCACCCAATCACCAACGACAATCTTCTGGACCGGTAGCTTCGACGCTGCTCTTATCAATTCTTGACGAGACTTCTCTCTCATATCCTCCCAAGTTCTCTCGAACCTGCTCGTAAGCAGTGTTCGGTTTTC